CTTCCTGCATTCTGTCTCTCCCCAGCAAAGGCACACCCGAACCTTCAGTGAGCCTGAGCACACGTGGAGCCACCTCCTACCTGGTGACGACCTCAGAAGCAGCAGGGTTGGTGTTTCATTCATCATACCTGACCCTGCATGGAGGGAGGGCAGGCAGGGGCCTTTCATCTCTATTTAATAAAATCCTGGCTATGCAACCGAAAGGGAAAATGATCCGGTAGTGTGCTGCCTGGGGGATGAGCCCTGCACCACCGCCCTTGGCTAATTATACCGGAGATTGTGCAATGGGCCCGAGCCATTCACCCCGCATGGCCGTGGCGTCTCTCACTAAGTCTGTGGGTCCTGAGCTCCCTTGGCACAGCGGGTACCCGTGGCTGCTTGCCGGAGCGTAGTGATGCAGGCGCTGCAGCAGCCGGGGCGCGGCCGGAAGGAACTGATAAACCCATGCGAGTGGCAACCCTCCCCTGCGTCGGAAGTGTCCTCGAGCGCCGGTCATTGAGAAATACCGAAGGGGCAGAATGGGGTGAGGCAAGGACAGCCCTGGAGCCAGCTCGTGGCCTGCGATCCCACGTGCTGCCACAGCCCTGCCGGGGCCAGGAGAGCGGGCTGCAGAGGAGGCCTAAATGCCCGCTTTGCACTGCGTCCCTGGGCTGCTGACTGGTAAAGCAGGACCTGCCATGCCACTGGGCCAGTGGATCCCGTTGTCGCCGCTGCTGATGGGTGCTTCAAGCTCTGCCAAAGCCAGGGAAAGGAAGCGCTATAGGTTCTCCCCCCTCCCCACCAGCGGAATTAAGAGGCAGGCAGCTGCGCTGGGTTTCCGCGAAGTTGTGAGCAGATCGATATTACTTTATAAGTTTTACCATCTTACTGAGTCAACACTTTATTTTAAAAGACAGAGGAAGTCTCAAGCAGTTCAGGCTGACCTGGAATTCAATGACCTCGAACTCCTGACCCTCCTGCCTCCTGGGGTACAAGAGTGTGTTACCGCTCAGTTTTTGTTTGTTTTGTTTTTGAGGCAGGATCTCACTGTAGCCCACGCAATCTTGGAACTGTGTGCCCCAACTGGTGATTATTTTGCCCCATTCTCTGAAGAACTAGGAATACACGTGATGCCGCCACGTACTTTCATGCTTCTGAATTGAAAACTTTAAAATCAGCACATACTAATACTTATTTTCAAATGTCTCTGATTTTTTGGGGAGGGGCATGATTTTATTATAGTTTGTGGAAAGTGGCAGAAAGAATGCGAAAAATAATAAGACATCTATGGAACAAATCAATACAAATACAAATAGTTGCTGAGATGTTACAATTAATTTTAGAAATAGATTGGCACAATCCAAGTTTTCAAATGGCTCTGTGATGGTGGGTAATCAGCCATCTTGTAGGATAAGCTACACAGGATGTAGCTTCATGTTTAAATGCAAGAGCTAGTCATCCAGAACAGGTGGCTAGTCAAAAATCTATAGATTCCAGCTCAAGAATGTCTGCAATCATGCTCAACAGAGAGCCAATATGTAGTTTGGCTCTCTTGAAGTCTCCATGTACAAACTCTTAGAGTTCTAGCGTGTGTCTCAAGTACAGGCAAAAGCAATGCCTTTTCCAGACAGTTTGTATTCATAGAGTTCTCATAGTCAAAGGCCCTGGTGCAGCAGATGTCTCATTTATTGTGGGCCCATGTAGGTGCAAGCACAGCTGGGGGTGGAGGGGAGCTGGATAAATCTTCGGTATTTTTCCTTGGGAGACATCCATCTTGCTTTTTAAGACAATGTTCTACCAGAAGCTGGGACTTTCCAGTTAGGCCATGAGAGTGACTAGTGAGCCCTGGGGAATTTGCCTGCCTCCACCTCTCCAGCATTGGGATTGCAAGTGCAGGGCACTAAAGGTGGGTGCTAAGAATGGAGCACAGGCACTTGACTGTCAAGGCAAACATACAACCTATGCTCCTAGCCCTGGATGTCTTGCTTTTTGTTTTGATTTTCTTTTACGTGTAAAGGTGTTTTGCCTGAAGTAGAACTATGCACTACTTGGGTGCCTGGTGCCTTTCTTTCTTTTTCTTTCTTTCTTTTTTTCTTTCTTTCTTTTTCTCTTCTTTTTCTTTTTTTTAAGAATGTGCAGGGCAGGAGGGGGCTGCATGCATGCATGTCTGTGCACCACGTGTGGGCCTGGTGCCCTGGCCCTTGGAGGCCAGAAGAGGGTGTCAGATCCTTGGAACTGGGGTTATAGAAAGAAGATTGTGAGGGGTCATGTGGATGATGGGAATTAAACTGGGGTCCTCTGGAAGAACAACCAGTGCTTTTAACCACTGAGCTATCTCTATGGTTATCGTGCCCCCCCCCCTTTAAGACAAGATCTCACTATTTAGCCTTAGCTATTCTGGAACTTGATATGTAGACCAGTATGGCCTTGAACTCAGAGATCCACATGCCTCTACATCCAGAATGCCAGGATTAATGGTGTCTACCCCCCACCCAGCATATCCCATATTCTTCATGACCTCAAAAAACAAAACAAAACAAGTCATGATTTGCTTTGTCATCCCTGTGAAAGCTGAAGAATTAATAGAAACCTCACTTTCAGGAATTCAGGTCTTCTGAGAGAAAACCAAAGTGCAGGTGTTCATGAAGTCTGGTGTCCTTACTGCTACATGTCACTGGCACTCAGAATTGAGTGTGGAACCTCAGTCTGTGTCCACAAAGATCATGGCTGTGAAGAGCAAAAGAACACTAGTTTCTACCTGATTCAAAAGTGAAACTCTCTCTATGCATATACCTCTAAGTGTCTGTTATTGTTTTGTGTAGGCATTTTGTTTTAGTTGTTGCTGCTGGTTTGTATTATTATTATTACAATTATTTTATTATTTCTCTGATACAGGGTCTCACCATTATGGTTGGCCTGGAACTCATTATGTAGACCAGACTAGCCTCAAAATCACAGCCTTTTTGCTTCCAGAATACTAGAATTACAGACATGACCCACCATGTCTAGCTGTCTTTCGTTTTGTGGTCTTGTTTAAGACTGCATCTTGCTCAATAGCTCTGGCTGGTCTAGGATTCCCTGGACTTGAACTTGTATCAATCCTCCTGCCTCAGTCTTCTTAGAATGGGATTACCCAGCCCAAAAGCTTTCTATGTTTGAGGCAAATATCTACTCTCAGTTTGTTTAGTTAAAATCTCCTTTAGTTAAAATCTCTATAGAAATGTCTCTCATGGCATATTCAGGAGGATACGAATGTCCATTAGTCTTTGGGAGCAGAAAGGGTCAAAGACTATGTCTCTTGTTCTGTGGCAGGACATCAGGATATAACCAATGACTCTGAAATTGGTGGGATCCAGTTCAAAGTGAAAACATGGCATCCCCTTCAGAAATTGTAAAGGATTTCAATACCACAAGTTCAGATCCCAGGCAAATGCACAAACTGGGAACAATCCTGTTCATTGTCCAGATGTTGCATGGGTTCACTCAGAAAAACTCAGGCAGGTCCTAGGCCAACGCAGGAAACATTTAGAGAGGTGGGAAGAGATGACATAGCAGTTAAGAGTATCGGCTGACCTTCCAGAGGATCTTGGTTCAATTCCTAGCACCTAAGTAGAGACTAACAACCAGGTACAACTCCAGTTACAGGAGATTCAACATCCTCCTCTGGCCTCGTCCTTGGCCCACACGTGGTGCACAGACATGCATGCATGCAGCCCCCTCCTGCCCTGCACATCCTTAAAAAAAAGAAAAAGAAGAGAAAAAGAAAGAAAGAAAGAAAAAGAAAGAAAGGCAGCGGGGTGGGTTAATGCGGATTTCCCGGTCTCCCTTTTGCTAAAGTCCATTGAGGGCCAGTAATCTGTGGCCCAGTTAACTATGGATTTAAAGAACTGGAGTCAAGAGACGCTATTCACTAACAGGAAGGAGACTACCGGATAACAATATAATTTGGTGTTACTTTTAAACTCCATTTCTGCCTGCAATACAAAAGTTTCTTGGCTGGGTCCGATGTACCTTTTGTTTCTGTACAAATTACAATTTTTAAAAATGCCCACTCTAGGTGGGCATGGTGGTGCACAACAATAATCCCATCACTTGGAATACTGAGGCAGCCTCGACTACACCCACAAATTTGAAGCCACCCTTGAAAAAAAAAAAAAGAAAAAGAAACAGGCTAGAAAAACACTTGCGCTCTGTCGACAAAAAAAGATGGCAAGATTCTCGTGAAACTGAATCTCCTCTGACATTCAGAACACTGGCGAAGTCTGACTCCCTGTTTGCTGGGTTTCTATCAGAGTTGAGATGTTGAGGCCAGGGGCTGCCACCTGCACCGCCCCCACCAAGCACCCTGCAATGTTCCTCCGAGCCGAACTCTCCGGCTGCAGTTTAACTCCTCCCTATCTCCGCCCCCGCCACCTCCCCACTTGATTTTTAATCCAAAGGTTTGGAAGGAGGGAGGGGACAAAACGGGAGCCAGATGTGTTCTCGTCCTCGGCTCCCGCCTCCCTCCCTCTTGGGCTTCCTAAAACCCGGAGCCCCGGAGACAAGGATTCGGAGCCGGACAAACGCAGCGCCAACCACGCCGTTCCTCGGCTCCTCCCAGAGTGGAAGCTAGTGGGAGGGGGAGTAGAAGCGGGGTGCTCTCAGTAGGCGGGACAAAGTGTTTGTGTGTGTGTGTTTTCCTCTCCTCTCTCTCTCCCCCCCCCTTTTTTTTTTTGGTTACAAGTA